GATTAGAATAAAAGTGCAAAATACAAAAATAAAATAAAGTATTACAGAATTTTATGTGCATGTTAAGAGACAGCAATGCAACTGCAGCCAAGATATCTTTGAAAGTGATGACTGAACTCTTCAAAAGAAACATCTGAAATGATGCCAATGACTGTCAATGTTACCGCAATTCACGCTTCTCTGAGGTCACCAAAGTATTAGTTGCTGCCCTGACCTTCTCCCTAGGACAAGATGAAGAAGAGAAACAGGACAGCAACTAAGAATGTTAGTGCAGTATGCCACAGGGAAAACAGGCTCCAAACACAATGAAAGTGCTTAAAAACAAAAGAAAAAAAAAAAACAAGGTGTTTAACTTCTCAGTTATCCATCTGATTCATGATTCTCCAAGATTTTGCAGAAAAACTAATACTGCAGCTGAACAGCTCTAAAGAGATGTCTGAAGTGAATATGATGCTCTAGAAACTTATCTCTAGACTGGTGGGAATTTATGAGCTTTTTCTAACTTCTATCCCTTTGTGCAAAGGTTTCTACAGCAGCACCAAAGAGAATTAGTAAGATCCTTCTGTTTGGTGCACAAACACACAAACATCTCATCACCTGGTATAGTCCCAGAGATCATTCAGTCACTCATGATTGTGGCCACCCATTTCGTTATGGACAAGAACTCTGGGGAAATCATGACAGTAGGAATCAATGAAAAAGATTCTATGAAAGAGGTAACAGTTTAATGACTTAACTTCCTCAAGGCCTGGCCCAGTATAAAACACACATTAAGAAAGTGACAATGTCTGCCAGAACTCTGACTCAGTTCTTCTGAACACTAAATCCCTCAGATTAAGGAATTCCAGGGTTAAGACTAGATAAAATCAAGAGTACAAAAATATGGAAAATTAGATGCTGAAGTTTACATTCTAGGAATGGAAGTGCTAGAAATTGAGAAAGAGGAAGAGAATGCTAAGAACAAAAAAGATGGGTGGGGAAGTATCTGTCTCAATGAGGAGGATGTTAATGGTAGTAACTAGGTTGATGTGCATCACTCTTCCAATAAAGAACAGCAAGAAAATCTCCAAGAGCCTAAACAGCTTCAAGGAGCCAGAATGTCCAGTCAAAAAATAAGCAGTCCTTCCAAGAAAAGCAACTGGCCCTACAATATAAACTTATGAAAAAGAAGATTCAAATAACTTCCTAGCAACTTTTCCATTCCAAGACTGTTAAATTTGTGTTATTAATCTGAAAATTAGTGAATTAACAATATTTTTTTTCCATTAAAAAGTCCAGAAACGGGGGCGCCTGGGTGGCTTAGTCCTTAGGCATCTGCCTTGGGCTCAGGTCATGATCCCAGGGTCCTGGGATCTAGCCCCGCATCAGGCTCCCTGCTCCCTGCTCAGCAGGAAGCCTGATTCTCCCTCGCTCACTCCCCCCTGCTTGGGTTCCCTCTCTTGCTGTGTCTGTCAAATAAATAAATAAAATCTTAAAAAAAAAAAAAAAAAAGTCCAGAGACACTGTATTTTAAAAACCACCCAATAAAAAAAAAATAATAAAAAAAAAAATAAAAAATAAAAAATAAAAAATAAAAACCACCCAAAAAAGCACACCACAGAACAATGATTGGTTGGATCCCTTTTTAAAAAACAACTCTGCGGGGTGCCTGGGTGGCTCAGGTCATGATCCCAGGGTCCTGGGATTGAGTCCCGCATCGGGCTCCCCACTCAGCAGGAAGTACTTCTCCCTCTCCCACTCCCCCTGCTTGTGTTCCCTCTCTCGCTGTGCCTCTCTGTCAAATATAAAAAAAAAAAAAAAAAACTTTGCAACATAAAAAGAAGCCCTATTATAAAATATAGATTTTAATTAATGACTATGTAACAACATTGGTACATCAACCGTAACAAATATACCACATTAATGCATGCTATTAATAACAGAAAATAGAGTAGGTGATATAGCAACTTTCTATACTATCCACACAAATTTCTGTAAACCTAAAACTGCTCTAAAAAATCAAGTCTATTAATTTTTTTAAAACCTGCAAGTATAGACAGATTTGTGAATAAACATTTGTATAAGCAGACAAAGAGCTGAAAATCTCTACATCAAACTGCAGTGGATTTCTACAGAGAGTGAAACTGGAAAGAAGGGCAAAAGGACGAATTTTTACATCATATACCTCTGGACTGTCTCAACTTTCCTACACTGAGCAGTGCTCTAATGAGAGGCTCTGTGACATATTGGGAGCCTGGGTCCTGAAGCCAGACTGCATGGATTCAAACCCCAACTGCACCATTAACGAGTTGATGAACTTGCGCAATTAATTTCTCTGTGCCTCAGTTTCTTCATCTTTAAATATGGATACTAGTATTAATTTCTCTGTGCCTCAGTTTCTTCATCTTTAAATATGGATACTAGTATTAAATAACTTAATACATGTAAAGTATTGAAACACTACCTAGCACACAGTAAGTGCTCAATAAATGGTGTTCACCACTACCATCAAGCATCTATTATTCCTGATTTTTTTTTTTTAATCTTAACTGGTAAAGACAAATCAGGAAAACCTGGCTCATCAAGCTCCTTTCTAGTAGCCAAATAACAATAATCTGAGGTTTTTTTAAAGCAGATTACAAACAGGCGTGCCCAGCTGGCTCAGTCCTTGCAACCCGTGATCTCAGGGTCATGAGTTTGAGACCCACATTCAGTGTAGAAATTACCTTAAAAAAATAAAATTAAAAAAAAAAAAGATTACAAACCACCACTTAACAGTATGAGCCCATTTATACAAAAGCAATCGCTAACAGATTCTGTAATAATCACACAAACAAAACCCTCGGAGTGGTGTGATTCTGACAATTTTAACTTTCTTCTTTAGACTTTTCTGACTCATTTTAACTTTCTACATTACATATGCATGATTGTTAATAAAATAAAGTAGGAGTCAGCAAGCTTTTTCTATTACGGGCCAGACAGTAAATATTTTAGGCTTTGTAGGCCATATGAGTCTCTGGCCCCACTACTCAATTCTACCTTGCACTGCAAAAGCAACCACAAACAACATCAAAATGAATACAAATGGCTATATCTCAATAAAAACTTAACTTACAAAAGCAGACAGCTAGCAAAACTTGCCCCACAAATTATAAAGTTTGCGGCCCCTGAGATAAAGAATAAAACTATTTTCATTTTGGAACACAAGATGTGATTTATACTAAAGACAGTGCATCGGCTAAATTGATACTACTGGTGGAAAAAGATTTGTTTATTTATTTGTACTAGTCTAGGGATAGAAAAACACAAACTCTTTTAGGCTCTGGTAATCTTCTCATCCGTAGTGTTCGGATAAGAGAAAATTTGCTACTAAGTAGCCTGTAAAGTATAGATATGAACATATACTGGTGGATATGCAGTTACAAATAGAAGCTAAAAGAAATGTCTTTCATATTTATACCAATCTGAATTTTTTTCAAAGTTCATAATAACTCACCACCAAGCAGCTGCCACCACAAGTGGAAGTCCCAACTAGTGATGAAATTATTTTAGTTACAAATAGTCAGCAAATGAAAATCTTCATTTCTATGAAATGAAAAAACTAGGAATGAAAAAATCTATCAAATTCTAACAGACTGAGAGTGAGAGGGTGGTAAAAGGAAACAATGGGTGGCCTTTGTTAAGAGAACACTTCAAACTTCAGAAATGACAGTTTAAGATCTCCCCTCCAAAATTAAAGCTTGGGTTGAAGGAAATTGTTTTTAACACTTCACTGAGAAGTTTTGTGATCAAACGATTTTAAATGTTATAAAGGATTTCTTCAAGTTTTAAACGGTTTCGGGGGGGGGGGAACTGGTTTTGGAAGAGATCTAATGGGATTAACAGTAGGCTGAGAAATCCACAATCTAAAAATAAAATATTAAAAGGCCATCCTACTAAAAAAAAAAAAAAAAAAGCCAAGAACCTGCACTGAAGTCACCATAGCTAGTAAAATTCTGGTCGGACATCTGAATCTTTCTACCAAAAGTCACAGTTGGGCCGTCTCATGAAGTTGTCAAATTCCAGAGACAAACGTATTTATATTTACTGTCAAAAGCCAGAGGGAGAAAAGAAGTTACCTATTAGTTTCCAATCCGACCTCTCTCATAGACCCCTAGAATTGACTTAAACCCTGTTACCATCAGTTTTAAAAGAAGCAAACAGTGACAGACTTGGAAAACAAGGGCCCAAGGTTCTATCGCAAGTAGGTTGCCTGGAGCGCCACCGAAGAAAAGATAAGAAAGGAAAATCTTCCTACCCAGGGACTATAAAAGTACTACCAAGCAGAACCCATTCGAAGCCTGCCACCAAAGAAATTCCTAGAACTAATAAAAGAGACGGAAATGAAAAAAGGGAGGGCAAAGTCTCTCGGTGAGCAGTAAGGAAGGGCAACTGCACGCGAAGGAAGAAGAGCTGAGAGAGGGCTCCGGACTCCGTGCCGGGAGGGGCGAGGCGGGTGAGGGGCGCCAGGCGCTACAAACAGCGGTTGAAAGGAGAGCGGATCCAGGCCCCTCACGGTCGGCCCCTGGGGCCACTGCACTGCGCGCTGTGCCCCGCGGCGACTCAGGTAAGGAGGCCAAGTTGAAGGCTGGGACGATCGCGCGCTCCCCGGCCCGCGCCGGGGACACTCTCCGCCTCAGACCCCTCACCTCCTCCTCGACCCCGGGCTCTCTCCCTTCGCCCGCGAAACGGCGCTAACATTCCAGAGACCCTCACCCAGAGCTTGTCGCCGCCTCGCCGCAAGTCTCGGACTCCTCGGGAACCACGGCGGGGGGGGGGGGAGGGAGGAAAGGGGAGCGGAGGAGGGAGGGGACCCGGAGGAGCTGCGCCGCTGCCGCCGCCGCGATACCGCGTCTGAGATCCTGCTCGAGCCGCCGCGACAGCCGCCGCCACGTCTTCCCGCCCCCACGACTGCGCGTCGCCGTGACGCGCATCGCACGAGGCGGTTCGAACCAATAAGACCACAGTTCGTGCGCAGGCGCACTGGCCCAAACCGGAAACTGCTCTTTTGACTGCTCTAGAACATAGATGCATCCTGGGAGTTGTGGTTCCGGCCAGGAACTCAACGAAAACAGTACTGAGCACCAAGGGACCAAAAGAGTGCTCCATGGGCGCGCACACAAATCCCCTTCGTTTATTTTTTCTCCCACCAAGAGCGGAAGCAGTTTAGATCAGAAGAGTCAGGGGCCCGCCCCAGCTTGGGGACGCTTTTTCCGGTCTCTATGGATACGGGCTACACACCTTGGGCGGAAGCCAAAATTTAGGGATTTAGGCTGGATCGTGTTTCTGCCAACCGCCAATATATTGTTAGGCGTCGTCTGTGAAAGCTTCCGAAATAAATCCGAAAGCATTAGCCAAGTCTTGTGCAAAACAGTAGCGTTTGCCTTTTATTGCCTTGTTAAGGTAAGGTATTATGATTTATGCCCTACTCCTCAAAAACAAATGTGAACCCACTCAGAATACATACAATTCAGAATGATTTGTAAAATGTTTTTAATGTAATAGCAGGTCAGAAACTATTTCAGCATTAAATACTGCGTCCATTTCCCAGAGTGAGTGATTTTCTACCTTTGAGGTTTCAACGGAGCTCTAACTTCTTAGAAATCAAAGAATGGTTTGGTTACATACTATTTCTATAAGAAAAGGAAGTACAAGCCCTCAACCCCCCATCCAAAAGTTCGGTTTTTCACTAACCAAAGGATTTACAAAGAGGAAATTTTCGCTTTTCCAAAATGGTAATTGTTCTTTGCCTTTCGCCTGAGCTTGAGAAAGGCTTCCTAAGAACGCGCTGTATTTTCGGATAGCTGGGTGAAACCTGGATGAAAATTGGTTGGCGTATAAAAATGTTTTCCTCACGTTCAGCTCTAAGATGAATTTATCACCCTCTGAACAGGTTATTGCCTTAATTGTAAAAACTCTTGTTAATGATTAGAGAAAATCCATAAGCTTTCAAGAACGCTTATGTGCATACCTTGTTTGTCCTTCCCTTGATCCACAACAAGAGAAAACAAAGAATTCTGGAAAAAGCTGCACAGATCTCATATCAAAAGGCCTAGAGTCTAATGTATGAGGGAAACACCCCTCCCCCCAAAAATAGAGAACTCTTCAACCCTGGAAATGTAAATCCTAGAATTGATTAAAGTTACTAAAATCACAAAAAGCATGAATAAGATGATCTTAATACTAGTATTTTAGGCCACCCAGTTAAGCTTGCAAGAGATAAAATTAAATTATAGAAATTAAATGTAAAGGACGAAATTCCCTTCAAGGAGTAATTCACATTGAAAATATAAATTACCTTTTTTTAAGTTTGCAGTAATTTGTAAAGATATAGCAATAATGACTTCTATTTTTCCAGACGTAAAGACATAAAGCTTTTGAGATTGAAATCAAGGAAGACATTCATACACTTCCACAGCACATCAGAAACAAAACACAGGCACCTTTGGATAGCAAATTTGACCCAGTATACCAACTCAAATAGCGAAAAGATGAGAAGAACAAGAGCCTCAGGCTTAATAAAAGGTCTGCTAAAGGTGACAGAGCTATATAAGAAAGATAATTTAAAAAGAGATTGTTCGAAGATCTCAAATCTTTTCTCAAATCATCCTCTTAATGATTTGCTTTGACAAAGTGCTTTACTCTAAGAAACTTCCTCTGGAACAGTACTTTATGTGCTAAAACATGTGAGAGAGAATGTTCTCATTTTCCCACCAAGATTTTACCTCTCATTCTCTGTCACCTTGATCCCATTCCCAGATCACTATTGCCAATTCCTGATGCTTTCAATGATAAAATAAACCACATTATTTCCCCAAAATGCTCACACCTTCTCAGCTGTTGAGGATATTGCCACCATACTTCCCATACATGTCCGATGTCTATGCTGGCTTCACCCACGTCCCTTACCTAAATGTCACCATTAAATGTTCCAAAGCAGATTTCTCAGGCCTCTGTCCCAGGCTGTACTTCAGTTAGTAATCCTTATATATATTATCCTATGACTAGCTATCCAAAAACCCAGGAGAATTCTGTAAAATTCTGTATCCTCCAGTGTCAGCTGTGGGATCTTTAGAATCTCTGCTCTCTCCATTCTTATCGTGTCACACTTCCCCACAGGAGAGTGTAGTTTTTCATCTTCTGCAGCACCAGGACAAGAGTTCCTTCTACCCCTACACCCCATACTAGTCACCAGTGACACAACAGTGCCCTGTGGCACAGCTAGTCTGATGTAGTCATCTCTACAATTATCAGATGCTGTTGACAAGGAGAACGCATCACTGGGTGAGTAATATTCATAATCTAGTTGCCGCCATCCTGGAATGAGGCTTCGGTGACATTACAGTATGTTGCTGAAATGGTAATATTGGACTTGTTCTAGGAACAGACTTAGCTTCCATTGTGATATGCAAGTCAATAGCCAATGGGAGTTGAAGATGTATCTAAAACAACAAGCAAATGAAGGTGCAGCTTTCAAATTCTAAAGGGTAAAAAAATAAAAAAAAAAAGCACTCTGGACTCCATTGTGAACTTAAACTTGAGTCCACAACTGGTTTTTGTTACTTCTATAAAGAGAAGAGGAATTATTCCATTCATTATTTTTCTAATCAGAACAATTGCTATTTTCAAGAAGAAAAAAAAAGCCAAATTATCTGCTAGAGAAAACCAAATTAGTAGTCTTCTTTGAGAGAATTGTTTCTATGACTTTCCCCCAAAAGATTAAAAAGGGAAATCAGCTTCATTACTACAAAATACTTAAAGGCCTCTAAACTCTTCTTTTCTCTGCCAATATCTATAAGCTTTTGAGGGGCGCCTGGGTGGCTCAGTTGTTAAGCATCAGCCTTCAGATTATGAAGGTCATGATCCCAGGGTCCTGGGATCGAGCTCCGCATCGAGCCCCACATCGGGCTCCCTGATCAGCAGGGAGCCTGCTTCTCCCTCTCCCTCTACTGTTCCCCCTACTTGTGCTCCTCTCTCATTGTGAAATAAACAAATAAAATCTTAAAAAAAAAAAATTTGAAATATAAACATTAGAACTGAAGGAAAAATCTGGACAATATAGAAGTCGGACCATAAAAAAAGATAAAGCAAAAGAAAAAGCAAGGAATGAATGTCAAATCAGTCCCTGTGACTATCTCATATATATGTTGTAGGAGAGGAGAAACTCTTATCCTCTTATGTTCCATGGCTGGCCTATGGGATCCCAGAATGGCTGAATGGATAAAAACAAGACCTGCTATGTACTGCCTACAAGAGACTCATTTCAACTTAAAAAAAAAAGATTTTATTTATTTATTTATTTATTTATTTATTTATTTATCATGACCTGAGCCCAAGGCAGACACTTAACCATCTGAGCCACATGGGTACCCCTTTTCTCCACATTCTTGATAGGATTTGTTAGCTCCTGTATTTTTTTTTTTTAAAGATTTTATTTATTTATTCATGAGAGACAGAGACAGAGAGAGAGAGGCAGAGGGAGAAGCAGGCTCCCAAGGAGCAGGAAGCCCGATGCGGGACTCGATCCCAGGACCCTGAGATCATGACCCGAGCCGAAGGCAGACGCCCAACCATCTGAGCCACCCAGGCGCCCAGCTCCTGTATTTTTTATAATAACCATCCTAACAGGTGTGAGGTTATATAAGTTTTTATTTACATTTCCCTGAAGATTAGTGATGTTGAGATTTTTATGTATTTGTTGGATATTTGTATGTTTTCTTTGGAAAAATGTATATTCGGGTCCTTTGGCCATTTTGAAATTGGGTTACTTTTTTTTAGGAGTTCCTTCTATATTTTGGATATTAACCACTTATCAGATATGTGGTTTCCAATATTTTATGCCATTTCATAGGTTTCCTTTTCATTTTGTTGTTGATGGTTTCATTTGCTGAGCGGAGCTTTTTAATTTGAGGTAGTGGACTTGCTTATTATTTTTGCTTTTGTTGCCTTTGCTTTTGGTGTCAAATCCAAACATTCATTGCCAAGACCAATGTCAAGGAGCTTATTCTCTATGTTCTCTTCCTAGGAATTCTATGATTTCAGGTCTTATGGTCAAGTCTTTAATACATTTGGAGTTGATTTTTGTATATCATATGAGATAATGGTCCAATTTCATTCCTTTGCATATTGATATCTAATTTTTCCAACACCATTTATTAAAGAGACTATCCTTTTCTCGTTGTATATCCTTGGCTTCTTTGTCAAAAATTAATTTACCATATGCATGGGGGTTTTTCTCTGCTCTCTATTCTACTCTTTTGATTATTGTGTCTCTTTTATGCCAAAACTATACAATACTATATAGCTTTATAATATAGTTTGAAATCAGGAAGCATGATCCCTCCAGCTTTGTTTTTCTTCCTCAAGATTGTTTGGCTATTCAGTGTCTTTTGTGATTCCTTATAAACTTTAAGATTGTTTTTCTAATCCTGTGGAAAATGTCATTGAAAATTTGATAGAGGGGTGCCTGGGTGGCTCAGTCGATTAAGCATCTGCCTTCAGCTCAGTTCATGATCCCAGGGTCCTGGGTTCGAGCCCCACGTCGGGCTCCTTGCTCATTGGGGAGCCTGTTTCTCCCTCTCCCTCTACCTCTCCCTCTGCCTCTCCTTCTCTCTTAAATAAATAAATAAAATCTTAAAAGAATTTTGATAGAGATTACATTTAATCTGCAGATCACTTTGGATAGTATGCACATTTTAACAATATTAATTCTTCCAATCCATAAGCATGAAATATCTTTCCATTTATTTCTGTCTTCTTCAATTTTTTTCATCAATACCTTATAGTTTTCAACATACAGAACTTTTACCTCCTTGGTTAAATTTATTCCTACGTGGGGATGCCTGGGTGGTTCAGTCCGTTAAGCATCTGCCTTTGGCTCCAGTCATGATCCTGGGGTCCTAGGATCAAGTCTCATGTCAGCTCCTTGCTCCATGGGGAGCCTGCTTCTTCCTCTCCCTCTGCCTGCCATTCCCCCTGCTTGTGTTGTCTCTCTCCTCTCTCTCCTTCTCTTTCTGACAAATAAATAAATAAAATCTTTTAAAAAAAATTTATCCCTAAGTGTTTTATTATTTTTGATGCTATAGTAAATGAGATTTTTTTATTTGTCTCCCAGATAGTTTATCATTAATGTATAAAAATGCAATTGATTTTTGTATACTGATTTTTTATCCTGTAAATTTGCTGAATTCATTAATTAGTTCTAGCAGATTTTGTCTGATCTTAGAGGAAAAGCTTTCAGCTTTTTTACCATTGAGTGTGATGTTAGCTGTGGGCTTGATACAATGGCCTTTATTATGATGAAGTACATACCTTCTATACCAAGTTTATTGAGAGTTTTGTCAAACGTTTTTCCTGCATCTATTGAGACAATCATATGATTTTTATCGTTCACTTTATTAATGTAGTATATCACATTGATTGATTTATGGATGTTGAACCATTCTTGTATCTATAGAATAAATCCTACTTGATCATGGAATTTGATCCTTTCAATGTACTGTCAAATTTGGTTTGCTAGTATTTGTTCAGGATTTTTGCCTCTATGTTCTTTAGTGATGTGGGCCTCTAATTTTCTTTTCTTTCTTTTTTTTTTTAAGATTTTATTTATTTATTTGACAGAGAAAGAGAGAGAGAACAAGTATGCAGAGTGACAGGCAGAGGGAGGAGAACCAGGCTTCCCACCGAGCAGGGAGCCCAATGCAGGGCTCAGTCTCAGGACCCCGGGATCATGACCTCAGGCAGATGCTTAACCTACTGAGCCACCCAGGTGCCCCATGCCTCTAATTTTCTTTTCATGCAGTGCCCTTGTCTGTTTTTTTTGTTTTTGTTTTTGTTTTAAGATTTTATTTATTTGCGAGAGAGAGAATGAGAGACAGAGAACATGAGAGGGAGGAGGGTCAGAGGAAGAAGCAGACTCCCTGCTGAGCAGTGAGCCCCATGCGGGACTCGATCCCGGGACTCCAGGATCATGACCCGAGCCGAAGGCAGTCGCTTAACCAACTGAGCCACCCGGGCGCCCCCCTTGTCTGGTTTTGGTATCAAAGTAATGCTGGCTGCATCAAATGAGGGAAGTGTTTCCTCCCGTATTTTTTGGAAGATTTTGAGAAGGATTGGTATTATTCTTCTTTAAATGTTTGGTAGAATAGGGCGCCTGGGTGGCTCAGTTGGTTGAGCGACTGCCTTCGGCTCAGGTCATGATCCTGGAGTCCCGGGATCGAGTCCCGCATCGGGCTCCCTGCTCGGCAGGGAGTCTGCTTCTCCCTCTGACCCTCCCCCCTCTCATGTGCTTTCTCTCTCTCTCAAATAAATAAATAAAATCTTTTTAAATAAATAAATAAATAAATAAAAAATGTTTGGTAGAATGCACCAGTAAAGCCATCTCACCCTGGACTTTTGTTTATTGGGAGGTATTTGATTACAGATTCGATCTCCTTACTAATAATTGATCTCTTCAGATTTTCTATTTCTTTATGATTCAGTCTTGGTAGGTTGTATATTTCTAGGAATTTATCCATTTCTTCTAGGTTGTCTAATTTGTTGACATATAATTGTTCATACCAGTCTTTTATGATCCTTCATATTTGTTTGGTATCAGTTGTAACTTCTCCACTTTTATTTGTAATTTTATTTGTTTGCATTCTCTTTCTGTTTTTTTGGTAAATCTAGCTAAAAGTTTGTGTATCTTGTTTATCTTTTCCAAAAAACAAAAAAAAAACAGCTCTCAGTTTCATTTACCTTTTCTATTGTCTTTTTAGTCCCTATTTATTTTCACTGTGATCTTTATTGTTTTCTTCCTTCTACTAGCTTTGATCTTCATTTGTGCTTCCTTTTCTAGTGCCTTAAAGTGTAAAGTTAGATTGTTTAATTGAGATCTTTCTTTTTCTTAATGTAGGCATTTATCACTATGAACTTCCTTCTTAGAACTGCTTTTGCTGCATCCCATAAGTTTTAGTAAGTTTATTTCCATTTTCATTTGTCTCAAGATATTTTTTTATTTCTCTTTAGATTTATTTGACCCATGGATTACTCAGTAGCATATAGTCTAATCTCCACATATTAGGTTAATTATTCAGTTTTCTTCTTGTAATTGATTTGCAGTTTTATACCATTATTATCAGAAAAGATGTTTGACATCATTTAAATCTTCTTGAAGTTATTAAGACTTTTTTTGTGGGGGCACCTGGGTGGCTCAGTCGTTAGGCATCTGCCTTTGGTTCAGGTCATGATCCCAGGGTCCTGGAATCGAGCCCCACATCAGGCTCGCTGCTCAGCGGGGAGCCTGC